GACATTTTTCCATTTTTTATTCAGATAGAGTGGGAGGGAGAGAGAGACACATCAATGTGAAAGGGACACATCGAGTGGCTGCCACCCACACAACCCAACCAGGGCCAGGGACAAACTGCAAATGAGGTACTGAGGTACGTGCCCTTAGCGGGAACTGAACCCAGGTCTCTCTGCACCACAGGCCGACGCTCTAACCTCTGAGCCAAACCAGCCAGGGCCAGATCCCACTAAAAATGAGAACTTAGTTTACGGCAGAATAGTTTTTCAAGTGACTAAGGAAACCATGATTATTCAATAAACTATTTGATACAAAACACTAACCATTGGGCAAAAATGAAATCAAGAATCCACCTTATACCATATGGGAAAACAAGTACCAGATAAATTAAAGATAAACATTTGAATATTATTTTTTTTAAAAAAAGAAAGAAAATATTCAGGAAAAGGTGGCAGTACATGAGCAAATTTATAAAGCTTCATTGTCCTACATAAGTAAACAAAGAGAAGTAAATAGCAAATATACCCTTGACATTGAAACTGTAGAAGGATCCATATCTCATACTGCAAATTTCAAGAAATACCCTGAAAATGAAATAAAAAGTATTTGGCTCTCAGAATTGTCAGAGAGAGTGCAAAACAGAGTCATGGAGACTAAAGGAAGAACATTCTTCAAAACCTTCCTAATGCCCACCTTTCCGCATCCAGTTTGGAGTAATGGGAACTGGGGCTAGACGTGGCCGGAGGGAATGTGCAGGGGTCCCCCTTCAGCTCCTTTTCCCAACGTGCCTCCTTTCCTGAGCATACCCTGGCTGGTGTGGCTCAGTAGTCTGGGCATTGTCCCTTACACCCAAGGTTGCTGGTGCGATTCCCAGCCCAGGCATGTGCCTGAGTTGTGAGCAAGCAGTAGGCAGCCAGCAGATGTTCCGTTCTCACACTGATGTTTCTCTTTCTCTAAAAATCAATTTTAAAAAAATAATAATAATAAAGGCCATTTCAGTCCAAAAGCCATGAATCTCTAGGATTTTATGCCAATATAACCAGCTCACCCCAAAGCAGAGAACAAACTAAGGACTGGAGAACACAGCCAGGGGCAGAACCTGGCCCCAGGTCAGCCCGTTCTCTAGAACAATGGATCCACATAAGCCTTTAAGTCTCAGGAACAAAGCAATCACAGTTCCAAAACAGGTGAAATTTATAATTCCTGAAATAAAAACAACTTTAGGAAAAAATACATATTATAAACAGAAATAAAAATCACAAACCATACCAACAAAATATTGGACATAGGAAGGTATAAGGAAAGTATGTGCATTCATTTTCTTATCTTTCGTAGAAGGAGGGACTGTAAGACCTGAGCCTGCAAGTATGTTTAACTGTGTTATTTAAGTTGCATGCAGACGTACTATGTAGTAGAGCTGAAAACAGGTTGTCCACCTTCCAAATGAGCAAAGCAGAAAATACAAAATGGACAAGAATAGCAAATGACAAAAGAACCTAGAAAATAGCAAGAAAGCATTTCTAAAATCATAAAGTAGAAAGTCGATGGCAGAAATTAGACTAAATACCTCTGTTATGAAAATAAGTGTTAATGCAGGAGAGAATAATTAATTAAAAAACAAATGCAGCCCTGGTCAGTTTGGCTCAACGGTTAGAGCATCGGCCTGCGGATGGGAGAGACCCAGGTTCGGTTCCCACTAAGGGCACATACCTCCGTTGCAGTTTGTCCCCGGCCATGAATGGGGTCGTGTGGGTGGCAACCAGTCGATGTGTCTCTTTCTCTTCCTCCCTCTTTCCCTCCTGCTCTTTCTGAAGATAAATACAAAAATGTCCTCAGGTGAGGATAAAATTGAATGAATGAATGAATGAATGAACACAATCTTTTCTGCATCACCAACCAAACGGTGCAAACAGCCTACAAGTTCCTTTTCTCCACTCAGCTTCCCCTCCGTCGCTTGAGCTCAGCCTCGGAGCCTGGCTTTCCTCTCCCACTCCCAAGGCAGGAGGACCAGTGTTCATTCACCTGCTGTCCAAGCCCTTGAGGGAGGGTGAGCATTTACCAGGTCCCTGCTACACCCACTCAGCAAGCCAGTCTGGGCCCAGAAGATAAGGAGCTGACTGTGATGTTAAAGTTTCTGACATATGAGAAAGGAGATTCCAGCTTAAATATTGTAGGAAAGGAGCCTCAAAAGGTACGAAAGGGCATCTTTCTAATCTACTAAGAGGACTCCATACCAGGCCGGAACAACTCCCCATAACTTCTCTAAGAGGGTGCTCGTTAGTTCTGTCATGAGGAACCAGTAGGTATTCTCATCAGAACTATTTCTAGGTCATTTATAATTAGCTATGTCTATTTATGCTCAGGTCAAGGTAGAACGAACTATATATAATTCTCATTCTGGAGCGTGGATACAGAAATTCCTCAAAAATCCTTTTGTCTTTCCCTTCAGATTTCTTTTTTTTTTTTATCCTCACCGGAGGACATTTTTGCATTTATCCTCAGATAGAGTGGGAGGGAGAGAGGGAGGAAGAGAGAGAGAAACATCAACATGAGAGAGACACATTGACTGGTTGCCACCCACACAACCCCATCCGGGGCCAGGGTCAAACTACAACAAAGGTGCGTGCCCTTAGCGGGAACCGAACCCGGGACTCTCTGGTCCATGAGCCAAAGCTCTAACTGCTGAGCCAAACTGGCCAGGGCCCCTTCAGACTTCTTTTTGCACTTCTCCTCTTCAGAGCTTACATTAAAATGCCACGCAGTGTTTGGACATGGAAGACCTAATCTGACTATAACAAGGCCCTCATTTCAGAAGGGGCAAAAATGAATAAGCAGGTCCCTTCCATCATCATCGTCATCATCATCATCATCATCATCATCATCATCATCAACATCACAAAAACAACAATAATGATAGCAGACAACCTAGACTGAGCATTTCCCTATGGTAGAAACTATGCCAAACCCTTCACACGCATCATTCCATCCATCCTGACAGATGAGGAAGGAGAAAGTGGGATTCAGACCCAGGCCTTCTTGACTCCACAACCTACGCATTTACCACAACCAGGCTTTTAACCACACCAGGCTTTTCTTTTTTTCTATGTAATCGTGCCGAATGGAGCACTTTCACAGTGGTCTCCACGTGTCCCCTTGCAGCCACCCAGCGAAGCGAGAATGATCATCCTACAGATGCGGTCCGAAGAAGTGAGAGAGAGTCTCAGGTCAGGCCCTGAGTGAGTGGTAGAGCCAGACTCCTTCCTTGTCTAAAACCCCGGCTTTTCCACGCAGCCTTTTCTCACTCGGATCCTTGCTCTCCTGCTCATCAGAGGGACTCGGAAGACAGAATTGCCCCGGGTTCCACACGGGACTTTCCTGTCTCCCTCTTTTCCCACTCACCCCTGGAAAACAAAGCACTTCTGTCCTCGTGGAGTTCATTACACCTCCATTATCTCGAGGTGTTTTTTTTTTTTAATCTTGTTGACTTTTTTTTCTTCTCGATTTTCTTATCAGGGGGTTGTACACAGGCTGCAATTATGCCCCTCAAGGTGACGGCCACTTTGGAAGTTCTCCGCACATGAGTACATTTAGGGAATTGTCAGCAGGCTCCAAGGAAAGCGTACGTTTCAGCCAAAGTAATTGTTGGGGGAGGAAAGCTTCCCAGAAATGAGGTCAGCTCTGTTCCCGAGGCGCTCCAGTCCCTTTGGAAAGGTGACTAGAGCAAAGTGGTAAATGCCTTTTCCTACCAAATATCAGAAAGCATACTCTCATCCCAGGCGCTTTTCTCAACCGAGACAGTACCATCCAAGACCAAGGGATAAAGAACTCAGCCCTGCGCGCTCGAACAGAGAGAGATGCATAATGTGAATTGTTAGTCAAAGAAAGTGATGATGGACATCTCTAAAATGCATGTGTGTGTGTGGATTTAAAAGTGGGGGGAGGGCCCTGGCCAGTTTGGCTCAGCGGTTAGAGCGTCGGCCTGCGGTCGGAGAGACCTGGGTTCGGTTCCCGCTAAGGGCACGTACTTCGGTTGCAGTTTGTCCCCGGCCCTGGTTGGTCGTGCGGGTGGCAGCCACTCGATGTGTCCCTTCACGTCGATGTCTCTCTCTCTCTCCCCCTTCCTCTCTCTCCCTCCCACTCTATCTGTACAAAAAATGGAAAAATATCCTCGGGTGAGGATAAAAAAAAAAAAAAAGTTGGGGGAGGGTTTCTGTGGAAAGTAACCCATGGGGTGATCCAATCTTATTCCTAACTGGGCAGGTCATGATGGGTAGTCATGCCTGGCCTATAATTCTTTAGTAAAAGGCTTTACGCCAGCCCTGTCCACTGTTCTTGTGCCTCTAGATGAGTATACCTTTGACATACCAGAAGGACTCTGCCCCAAAGCGGGCATCAACCTCAAGGGAGCACATCGGCTTGTTAACTGTCCTGTAACCTGGCCCCTACCCGCCTTGCTTTCTCCCAGCTCCACGCCATTTCCTTAGTTCCCTCCCTGATTTCAAATGCATACGAGAAGCTGCAAATCTGTTCTTCTCCAGGAGCATCTGAGATCTTGCTCCCTGGCACCTGTCATCAGTTTGACTCAAATATACTCTCATTACAATTCTCTACAGGTTGAGACATTTCTAATATCGACATATGTTATTGGCATCTCTTACAAATACTTTTGGAACCCCCTAACGTGGGACTACGGGGTTCCCCTCACTTCCCCCCGAGTATCATGAGAGCTGCCCTACATGAGTATAAAGGTCAGCGCCTGCCTTGCTGACCATAAGGCAGTTCTCACCGGTGATCTCAGATTTTATTTGTGTATAAAAGAAAGCCAGTGATATTCAGGGCAAAAGATCGATGGTGTGGCGGTCATCTAGGTTCTGGCTGGTAAGCACGGCCCTTACTCCTTCTGTAGGAGACAGAAAGGTTTTATTTTCAATTCTGAGACTGTAATTTTTTATTTTGCACCATAAATTAAGCCCAGGTGGCAGCTTAAAAACTCTCTGGTGGTTTCTGCTTCTGGCAACGGCTAACTAGGTTGTTTCAGCCCAAGTCTCTCTCTCTGAAAACAATTATACAATCTAAACAAAATGTTTTGAAAACCTGTTAGGAAAGCTCCTAAGATCATATTTAAAAACATACAGCATGATCAGAATAAAAGAGAGAAACGAGAGTTTAGCATTGGGGGTTTCTGAGGCAGGAGACGATTCCAAAAGCAATGACTGAGAGGCTGAGGAACTGAGCAACATTTTCTGAAATCACACAGCTTGGCTGGCAAACAAAACAGAGTTCCTGGTTTTTTAAAGAGGGAAGGCGTTTTCAGTTCCAGAACTTCAATCGAATTCTTTTTGATAGCTTCTAAATAGTTGCCCATTTTTTTCCACCTTGATATTTCATCTTCAAGATTGTTAACATAATTATTTTAAAATCTGTGTGGGACAGCTCTGTCAGGAACTCCCATGACTATGTCTCTTTGTTGTTGTTTTCTTTCATATTTTTAGGCAAATCCCGTCCTCTTGCATGTCTTAGCACTTCTCATTGCATGCTGCACACTGTGTGTGACAAATTGTTGACACCATTTGTGGCTCTGGTGTTTCACTCCGGAGAGGACTAGCTTTTGTTTCCGGCAGGTCACCGTTAATTATAATCCACGGTCAGGTGACTCGAAGTTGAGCTTCGGACCTTGTGAGGGCTCATCTACTCCTGGCCGACACTTTCTTCCAGAGAGGGTAGGGTCCTGGTCACCCCACAGGCTTTTGGTTGGCACCCGTAAATATAATGTTGGCTTTCTTCTGCTGCCTGTGCTAAGAATCCATTGCTTAATCCAAGACCGTGACACAAAGGAATAAATGCCCTTTTGCTTTTTCCAAAGAGTTTATAGTTTTAGCTGTTACATTTAGGTCTTTGATCTATTTTGAAATAGTTTGTGTATGTGGCCTGAGGGAGGGCCCCCACTTCATTCTTTTGCATCGGGATATGTAGTCCCAAAATTGTTTGATGAAAAGATGATTCTTTCCCACATGAACTGTCTTGTCACCTTATCAAAAATCTATTGGTCATTAATGTCATGAGGGTTTATTTCTGGACTCTCAATTCTTTTCCATTGATCTGTATGTCTATACTTACGTCAATACCAATCTGTCTGTATCTTTGTAGTAAGTTTCAAAATCAAGAAGTGTGAGTCCTCCAACTTTTATTTTTTTAAGATTGTTTTGGCTATTAATGGCTCCTTGAATTTCCATATGATTTTAAGATCGGCCTTTCAGTTTCTGCAAAGAAGACAGCTGGGATTACAGGAATCATCTTGAATCTGTAGGCCAATTTTGGAATAGTGCTATCTTAACAACATTGAGTCTTCTAATCCACGAGGTTCAAAGAAGTTACCTACCCATAGCCAGCAACTTTTATAAGTAATAGAAGTGAGCCTGCTCTCCCCACCAACTTCTGCCCCAGTTGAGTGCTAAGGGGACTGACCTACCCAGCACCACCCCCCAGAGCCTGACAAAGATACTGCCATCTGAGCAGTTGTCCAGGGTGTCATTTGAAAAGTGACGCTAAACTTCTCTGGACATGTCACAAGGTACAAAAAATCTGTTTGTTGAAAGAGCTCTCAGAAAGAATCCCTCCGTTTCTGGCCGGTGTGGCTCACTGGTTGAATGTCAACCCATGCACCAAGAGGTCGCCGGTTCGGTTACAGGTCAGGGCACGTGCCCAGGTTGTGGGCCAGATCCCCAGTCGGGGGGCATGCAGGAGGCAGCCAATCCATGTTCTCTCTCATTGATGTTTCTGTTTCTCTCTCTCCCTCTCCCTTCCTCTCTCTTGAAAAAAAAAAGTAAGAATCCCTCCGAGAACGACCTGGGAGAGAAGGCAGGTCCTCCCAGGCATCTCCAGTCACTTCAGAGGTAGTAGCAAACCTGATTTCTGAGAAGGGTGGGCCTCTGACTGCGGTCTCGTTTGCCGAGTACTTTATGAACGTTTGGGCCCGAGGCGAATTGCTTGACGCACAGGAAGAACTTCACCTGGCCCAGCACGCCCTGATCCTGCTTCTCCTCAAGGCTGCGCTCAGCTTCTCTCTTACCAAATGTTGAACAAATATTTTAAAAATATTTTGGTGACGAGGCATCAAATGATCAATCTGTTTGAGGTGCCCACGTGTCTGCCCAGCCCTGCCTCCCCTTATTTGGACAGGGCACAGCCAAGGGCTCTATGGCCCATCTCAGGAATTAGCACGGGGTAAACTGTTCGCTGTGTCCACAAACAGCGTGGATTGGGGTGTTTCTGCTTGGCTGATTGGAAAATTGTAACACTTTGGCTTTAATGTTTTCAGCAGCTTTTAGCGAGGCATTCATTAATTATGCAAAACAGGCTTCAGGAGAATGATTCTTTTGAGTTAATTAATACCAAGTGTTGCTAACCAATTAGCAGCCTTCCCTCGTATTGCGGGGCGGTTGCCGTGGGACATGCCAGACAGAGCTGGCTCCCCTCACATCTCTCCTCTGTCCTGCGCCACCTCCCTTCCATGACAGAAGTCAGGAGCAGCCTTACTGAGGAAGGCCATAGGTAAGGACTTCCTCTCCACCCTGGACCTCCCTTCATCCTGGACCATCTCAGTGTTCATTTGGATACTGCACCTAAAGTGTGGTGTGTGGGCCAGCAGAATTGGCATCATGAGGGTGTTTATTGACATGAAGAATCTCAGGCCCAACGCCAGACTCCATGAATCAGAACCTGCATTTTAACAAAACCCCCTACTGAGCCACATGGACATTAAAATTTGAGAATCACTGAGGTAGAAGACTCTCCCAAGGCCCCTAGACCCTGCCTCTCACAATTCCTGGCCCTTTTTAATCCAGAAGTTCCTGGTCATTTATTTTAGCCATGAACACATCTAGAGCCTTGCCTGACTTCCACCTATGTCATTTTACCGTCCTGTCCTACTCTCTGACCATTTTCAAATGCCAACGTGCATCTCCCTCCTCCTCTTACTCCCAGTGCACACCTACCCGAGTCCTCCAGTCCACTGGCCACGCGTAATCTCCCCGTCCGTCTGTGGCCTTGGAGCTGCCTTTCTGTCCATGATAAGCAGCACTTTCCTCATTCCCTCTTCATTGTGCTCACCTCTCCTGCCAATGCAGATCCTCTCACAAATGCTAAGGCTTCTTTGCTGCTGGAAAATCTTCTACGTGTCCCTAGCAGCTTTCTCCCCCATTCCAGGCACTGTTCCAAACTGCTAACCCTCTGTTCAAGCTCCTCGCTTGAAATTCAAGCCATCCACACAACTCCCTTTCTTGTCCCCTTCCAACTTACCTGCATCTGCATGGATCTCTTTCTTCTTCCTCACCTCCCTTCTTCAATGAAAGACGTGTCCCTCCTTCTGTCTTAAGTTAGACTTTCAACCTGGTAGGGAAGGTCCCTTAAAAAACTTGGTCCCACCAATCACTATTTCTATAACTTGAACTTTTCCCTCTCTACTAGTTCCTTCCCCACAAATTATAAGTGTGCATGTGTCTCTCCCGACTTTGAAAGAAGTGCCTATCATAGCCTTCCCTGAAAAAGGGAACCTCCTTTCTTTAGTCCGCACTTAAGAGACAAGCTTTCGCTCAGCCAGGGTGGCTCGGGGGACGGAGCGCCATCCCGTGGACTGAGAGGTCCTGGATGCGATTCCCAGTCAGGGCACCTGCCTGGGTTGAAGGCTTAATCCCCAGGAGGGGGCGTACAGGAGGCAGCCAATTGATGTTTCTCTCTCACATCAATGTTTCTATCTCTTTCTCCCTTCCTCTCTCTAAAAAATAAAATAAAAAGTTGATTTAAAAAAATAATAAAACAGAGTCAAGCTTTCTCCACTCCTCAGCTTTGAACAATTCCTTAAAGGCCACACAGACTCTAGGGCACCCAGCAATGTTGCTTCCTCCAAGAAGGTGAGGCTCAAGGAAACCAGGTCACCTCTGGTCATCAGACTTGCTTTTCAAGTTAAATACTCTTCCTTGAGAGCAGAGAGCAACTTCGGGGTTCTGTTCTAACTGGGAGAGCCCTCCTGGGCACAGCTCGCCCCACGGCAGAGAGGGGCCACCACGCCGAGCTGAGTACTTGCTGGCCGCCTCGACACATGCTAGAGCACCTGCTGCCACGAAATACCAAGCAAGCAGCGGAATGCCACTGCCCGCCGCTGGCAGCGAGCGGGAGCCACAGCACTGCCGTGGGAAACTGTCCTGTTGAATTTCTCATATTTCTGCTGTCAAAGTGAGTCGACCAGACCCTCCCTGGGAGAGCAATGAAGGGGCCCAAAGCAAAGCATAGTCTCGGTGTTCTTGTCAGAGCCCATTAGGGTGACCAGTTCAGACAGCAGATGGTGGTATTACTGTGCAGTTTCCATGGTTAATTTGAAGATCTCCCCCACCTCCCTCAGGCACAAACACACACACACCTCAGCACACTCAAGGTCCAACCTGAGGTAGCTGGAGCAGCATTTCCCACAGGGTGTTCTGTCAACACTCATGTCAAGGCAGGTTCACAGGCTTGGGGCTCACACAGGGTCCTAAGCTCTGATCATGTGGGGAATGGGGGATCAAACAAAGCTGTCTGTTTCCCACAGGACTCCTCAAGACCTCCAGTACATCCATGCCTGCTGTGAGTCTCCAAGAGCAGACAGGGTATCGGAATTGACCAAATGCTCCGCCCACTGGTGTTGCAGGCGACACCCCGTGGGAACTGCTTTCTACAACAGCAGCCCTGAGCTTCCGTTCTCCTCAAAGCTGCAGATGCTGAGGCCTCTACCTGAAGATTCTGCCAGCCCAGTTCTGCAGCCAACCTGACAAGAGCAGGAAGACGTTGGTGGGCATAACCCGCACTTGCTTCTGACCCTCTTCCTCACCTTACATCTGGGCTTCTGCCCAGTGCTTGAACCCCATTCTGAGCCTTACCCCATTTGGTGGGACCCTGACCCTTGCCTCTTTCTTGCCATCCCCTCCCCAGGGGCTGTGTTTTGCAACCAGATACTCTGTTTCTTCCTGAGAGCCCCCTGCCGCTGGAATGTTTACTGAGACCAGTGCCTCTGCCCACATGACCTCAGAATCATCTGCTACTTAAGTGAACCTGACCTCGCCCACCCACTGGCCCCTGGCACGGATGTGTATTGTATATACCCAAGTGTGTCAAACCTCTTGGCTTTTGGACAACAGAATACCCATTACTCCCACTGGTACCATACTCACAGCCAGGCCACGTGCCAGTGCCCAGCCCCCCGTGCCAGCTTCCTTTCACCCTCACTGGTCTCTTTTGGTGAGGTCTTGGCATGCTTGGTGGCCAGGTCCTTCCCAGGTTGTGACTAGGAAGTTGGCATTTCTTAGACAACGTCCCCATCACACTACAGGTCAGCAAGACACACAGCGGAGGTTTGAGACTCGAGATCAAAGCACGGGTGCTGACAAGTCCTGGTGTCCCTTGCTCATGGTGCTTGGCTGAGCCATGTGGCACACATTCTGATGATTTCGATTTTACGGGAAGAACAGGACAGTTATATTAGATCGATGATTTCAGGCGTTTGAATTTTATGGACCAGTACAATTTCAAAAATACTCTTTGAAAGGCTTTATAATGTTAGCAACTAAATAAGGGACAATAAATATAACAATAATGTATAATCACCATCATTTCACACAGGAAGCTATATCAATACCGAAGCAAAGTAGGGAAGACAATCTCAGCATTTGAAGAATTAGTTCTCTGGAAAACGCCTATGCTTTTCCTGTTTAACCAGAGGCCCAGAGGAACTGGCCGTGGACCGGCCCTAGACTAGGGTCTGGAACTGAGGGGCTCCAGGCTCTCAGATGTCCTGCTCACCCCGCACCCGGCACAGACATACCTGACAGCTCAGCTTACCCTGGGGAACTTCTTTTTATGAAAACAAGTCTGTCTTTCTGCAGCTCTCACACCATGATCTTAGCTCTGCCTTGGCCCAGAACACGTGCACTGTCTCTTTTTTAAGGTGTCCCTTTAGACATTTGAAGCCTGGGCCATGGGCCTCCCCCAGACTCCCCTCCCCTCACCCTTCCCCTGGGTCAGGGCAGGGTTCAGAGGAAGGAGAGAACGGGAGAGGTCTGAGCACTGGGGAGGGCTCTGCTGTTCTCCCTTCCTCCCAGGCCTGCCTTCAACCACTCAGGGCAGGAAGGTGCCCAGACAGAAGACAAGAGACCAGACGACCAGGGGAGGGGGGCTCCTGAGCAGTGGGAACCTGGAGCCTGAGATGAGAAAGCTTTGGTGGGGTCCAGAGACATCATGGGCCTCTCCCAGCAGGGTGCCTGTCTCTGTCACCTCCAAACCCACAGCTGTTCCAGGGCAGGTCATTTGGGTGGTCATCGCAGCACCACTCAAAGGGGGACAAGCTTGCAAGCCCCTTCCCCCTCCTCTGGGGAGCATTGTCCCAGGACGCAGCTGTGTGCAGGCACATGTGAGGGGCCCTGGACAGCTGTGGCAGAACAGAGCTGCTCCGGGAGGCAGGGCGGCTGGGAGCCTGGAGGGGGACCACAGCCTCAGCAGCCACCTGGGGGAAAGAGCTGAGGATCTTTGGGAGGCCACAGGCGTTCGTGAGCTTCATTCTCTTGTAGTGAATGTTGAGCTTAACACTCGTCAGTGGCTTCCCCTTGTTCCTAAGATAGAAAGAGAAAACACCACCACCACCACCACCACCGTGCTTCCCGGCCTAGGCTAGCAGCCGGCCTGGGAGCCCCACACCTTGCTCCACCCACCTCCCCCAGACCCAGCCACACTGACCCCCTCAGGTCCTCCCGGAGCCCGCCCCCAGGTATGGGCTGTTCCCTTTCTCCGGCCGCTCTCCCCATCAGCCCCCATTTACTCCTCAACCTCTCCTCATCCTTCAGACCTCAGCTGAAAGGTCCCTTCCTAGGGAGGCTCTGCTTGACCCCGGCCTGGAGGTGCACCGGCGGGGTCGCCACCCGCCACTCACGGCTCCTGAGCACTTCAGCTGCGGGTCCGAACCAGAGGCCGGAGCGTGCAGTACCCGCCGCGGTTCCGAGAACTTAGTGCGAACATAAGAATGCCAATGATCTCATTGACGATTTGTAATGTTGATTAAGTGTGGAAATGGCAATATTTCAGACATAAATAAAATATACTAAAATTCATTTCGTCTCTCTTTCTTTTTTACTTTTGTGACTGTGGCAACCAGGAAGTTTAAGTTACATGTGCGGCTGCATTTATGCCTCACGGTGCATTTCTGATGGATGGTGCTGGCTCTGAGCACATCGCCCTGGTCCATGCTGGATAGAACCATACCTTTCGTCTTCCTGACCTTTATTGCCCTTTATCACGATGTGCTCCCACCGGAATGTAGACTCCCTGAGGACAGAGATTGTGTTTGTTTTGTTTTGTTTTTTTATCCTCACTCGAGGATATTTTTCCATTTTCTATTCAGATAGAGTGGGAGGGAGAGAGAGAAACATCGACGTGAAAGGGACACATCGAGTGGCTGCCACCCACACGACCAACCAGGGCCGGGGACAAACTGCAACCGAGGTACGTGCCCTTAGTGGGAACTGAACCCGTGTTTCTCTGGACCGCAGGCCAACACTCTAACTGCTGAGCCAAACCGGCCAGGGCTCGTGTTTGTTTTGTTTCCCACGGTGTCCTTAGCTGCTAACACAGTCCTTGGCACACAGTAGGAGCACAGCAAATGCGTGTTAAGTGTATTAGTGTAAGCTCTAATATGTGCCAGACACTTGCATGCAGTTTCAGACGTGTGTGTGAGCGTGCCTATGCATGCGTAGGGAAAATAAACACTCCTCTTGAAAGTTTGTACAGAACCTCGTCATACAAAGCAGAGCACAGCAGAACAGTTTTGGATGAAGCTGAGTAGGGGCCTCTGCTTGATGGCCCTCGTTGTCCTGGTGAAACCCTAGACACTTCCCCCCATAGGTAGTATGGAAAGGGTTAATAATGTTTTAAAGGGTAAAGGCAAAAGCTTGCAAAAGGTGAAACTGTGAAAAATGTGTTGCTTGCATGACCTTTGCTCAGCCTTCTGTTGAGTACGGATAAGAATTATCTGGATTATCCACAAGATGTGAATCACCCAGCAGATGCAGGAGATACCAGACCAGTCTAACTGCAAAGTGGACAATGGGCAGGCAGAGTACATCAGGAGAAACGGCCAGAAGCTAGAAGTAGAATATATAACCTGACCCCAACTGTTATTTGAGGCTGACCCCTTTTTGGGCTCAGCCCGCCTGTACCCAGGTGTATGCAATAAAGCCATTTTGCTCTACATTGGCCTTGCGTTGTGGATGTGATCTCCAGCCGGCTCAGACCTTTGAAGATGAAGACCACTGTGTTGCCTCATTACCCCCTTAACCGCTCAGTGAGGAACTGTGACAGAGAGTGTCATGTGTTCAGCAGCCATTGTACACTGGGGCCAACTAGGTGCCTACTGAACAGCAGATCCCAGCTGAGCCCTACTAGTGCACTGAGGACACCGTGGGTAGAGCCAGTGAGGCCTCAGGACTCCACTCATCTCCCTCCAGAGCAGCGAGCTAGAGCCCGTGTGACTTCAAGCCACTCCATCACTAGAGATAAATGGAGATGAACACATCTAGTTTGAAAGGGTTTCTGGGGGAGATTAAATGAAAAAATGTATTATAGCACCTGGCGTATAGTAGGTAGTCAATAAGTAGTTGTTGTTACTATCATCATTATTTAAAAGAGGCAAACAGTAAGCCTTTGCAATAGCAATCTAAACAGTAGCATACTTCAATCACTTGCTAAATGCATTTCCTTGCTGTCGTCATTAGTGATCTGTACCCATGACTTATAGGCAAACACACACACGCACGCACAGGGATGTATGCACTAAATGTGCACGCCATTAAACTCTACAGTCTGTTTTTATAACGTGTGCAGGACAGAAACTGAGTGGTCCTACACAGAGATGAGTAATCCTCAAATAGAAAACCAACTGTGTCACCTCTCAAAACAGTTTCATACCCCTGTCTCTATGAGCTGAACAAGGGGCATATGAACATTTGTTCCTAATTAACAACAACAACAAAAATCTGTCTCCCTTATTCTTGGTAACCAATCCTAATCCCAGTTTCTGACGTGCTACTTGTCATGTTTCATTTGACAAAGGCATCATCACGTCTCCCCGGTGCCAAGGACAGACTCCAGGTCTCTGCCTTGCAAACCCAGTGGCAGCTCACATCCGTCACGCATCCACAAGGCAGCAGGCAGGGGCACTGGCTGCCCAAAGACTTGGTAACAACCCAGCACCTGTCAAAGCACAGCCAGTGGAGCCGAAAACCGTAGTGTTTCCACTGAGAACGGTAGGGGCGGGAGCGTACAAGGTGAGACCTGCCAGTCAGTGACTGGCTAATGGACATCTCCATGGGTCCCAGCTGCAAGATCTGGCCTGGAAACCGGGTGCAATTCTGTTGCCCCCACCTTCCACCCACAGCACTAATTCAGAAACTGCATTCTGTGGTCCTTCCCCAGGGGTCCATGAACCCAAGACTGGGGTTACGGAAGGCTCCAGGGTCTGATAGGCCAGCAAAGGACACCCAGCATCGCAGGCTTCCTGGCTCTGCTCGCCTCCCTGACAGCCACAGCCGCG